TTCACTGACACACTGAGCTTGGTCCTGTCTCAGGGCCTTTGCACCTGCTGCTCCTTCTGCCTGGAATGCTCTCTACTCTCCCCAGTCACCCTCTACCACTTTCTCCAAGGCCTTAATACAGTCTGAAATTAGCCTGCTAATCCATCATCCATCTCCCCCAGCAGGATGTCAGCCCCAGGGATACAGGGACTGTCTTGGGCTCACTTGACGCTAGCTGAATATGTGAATGGAAGCTGGTACTGCTCTTTGTTCATGGGTGAGGAAGCCCAGGCCCAAATTTGTCAAGAATCTTGCTGGAGGTCACCCAGCAAATAAGGGGCAAAACTCAGAGGTGTTTTTTTCCCCTGCCTCTTACTCAAAGATGGGCCAAAGGGTGCAAAATTGAGGTTTGCCCACCTGTTCCCCCACATGCAGTAACTAGCCGACAGGAAAGTGGCTTCGCCTGGGTCTCAGACAGACATGGATTCAAATCCCAACTTTTCTGCTTTCTGGGCAAGTGATGTCCCTTCTCAGCGCCTCAGGTCTCCACTCTTTGAAACGGGACTCCTACTTCTTGTTCTCAGAGGGCACCTGGGAGAGGCTCAAACTCCAACCCCCAATTCCCCAGCCCACCCTGGCCTGCCTCACCCCCTGCACATGGCTATGGCCAATACAAGGTTGAAAACCCCCAAGGAGGGGTGGCCAGCCGGCCAGCCAGCTGGGGCCTCTGGGGCTCCATCACTAGTCACCCAGGTGGTCAGCCAGGCCGAGAAAGGACTAAGGGGGTGGGGGGCAGGAGAGGAAAGCAGAGCAGATGAGAGGTTTGGAGCCATGGAGGGGGAGGCAGGAGGAGAAGGCCTCGTGCTAGTCACTCACCAGTCGTTGGGCCAGTGCCTTCATCTCTCTGTGCCTCAGTTTCCCCAACTAGGGAAGGGGGATGGATATCATTGGATTATCGCAAGGATAAAAGGTACGTAAGGCACACACGATAACACCTGGCGTAGAGTGTGCGCTCAGGAAACCGAGGCTCTTCCCCCCTCACACCTCACCTGGCTCAGGCCTCTGCTCAGACGCCACCCCCTAGGAGAGGCCTTCTTGGACCTCCCCACCCCTCCCTGCCCTACTTTCCTTCCCTCAGAGCCCTCGTCCCCACCTGTCATTACCTTATTCTAGTTACTAGATACTGTCTGTCTCTCCCCATAAACTGTCACCTCCATCTTGGTCACCACATGTCCCTAGCACCCAGCATAGGGCCTGACACAAAGCAGGTGCTCAATAATGTTTACTGAATAAGTAAAAAAAAAAATAACTGGACAAATAAATATCTCAGAAACAAGGACAAAACAGTCCCAGGGAGGTCTAGACATGGTTTGGGTGGAGGAGGACACACTCTTTAGGTATTTAGACGGGGAAGTCCCGCTTCTCTTTCCTACCCACAAATTCCACCATTCTTAGCTGTGCAACCTTAGACAAGTCACTTCCCCTCTCTGAGCCTGCTGGCTTGGCAGGAAAATGCCAGCAACAAAATCCATGGCCTCCAAGAGCACACGGCCCGGCACCCGGCAGTGTCTCCAGATTTCATTTCTGACACCCACTTCTATCCTTGGTAAGATCACCAGGCTGTGGGGCAACTACACAAGATTATGAGGTGCAAATGTGTTATCAACTCTCCTGTCCTGAGCAAACATTGGTTGGGCTTCCCAGCTAGCCTCAGTGGTCAACCCCACTAAATGGGTCTGTGGTTAACATGACCAGCCTTCCTGGGCAGTTGGAAGAAACCAGCAAATCCATCTATGCCAAGGTCTAGGCGTGCTATTTTGCACATCATAAACACTGAACTTGCATCCACTATTATTCCTGTTCCTCAAGGCACGTCCCTGGACTCCTCGTGCTTCACCCCATCCAGCTCTCTTTCTTGTTTCCCAGCTTTTGAACGGACTGGCCCCTCGTCCCTGCAAGCCTTTAGCTCTCCTAGCCTAGTGATCCATAGGGTAGGTGTCCCCCCATTTATGACATTTCCTCAAGTCCTTTGGGCACAGCTCTGGCCACAGTGCTCCCACAGGCCACCAGGACCACCATCAGAGCCCTCAACCTGTTAACTATTTCTCCAAGCCCTCCTCAGGGGTAGTCAGATGGGATTGGGTTCAAACTCCCTTAATGTTGCTTCCAAACTGTGAAACCATAAGCAAGTCACTTAACTCTGGCACTTGGGGTACCTAAGCCCGGGGTGGGGCAAGGAGCCCTCCAGGAAGGGTCCAGGATTTGGGGTGGGGGCTGGGATGACCAGCCAGGCTCTCAGCCCTAAGCTTTCCCCAGAGACTTGGGAGTTGGACTTAGCTTCCTAACTGGCTCCACCCTTGCTCTACCTGAGCACTAACCCCGCTACTGTGGGCCTCAGTTTACTTTTGTAAAACCAGTGTAGCACCTTCCCTGGGTGCTTATGCAGATAATAGGGAGAGTGTGAGTGTGTAAAGAGCTGCACTCAACACTCGTTCTCAGGCAGCACTCAGGAAGGGGGAGCCTGGGGGTCACTCTTTGACCAGGCTGCTCCCCCTCACCACCTCTGCGTCCTCTGGTGACAAAAATGGGTGAGCAGCACACACCAGCCAGCTCTCCATGACCAAAGGAGTGGGGATTAGAGAGGTTCGTTCCTAAATGGCAACTCCCCTCCCCACCAAAAGACTGAGCTACCTCCTTCCCTAGGTCCAGCCCCCAGGCTCTGCCCTTCAGCAGGTAAATCCTAGAGGCAGTTGAGCCGATGTGCTCGTGCTGACACTGGACTGACTTGGAGGTTCCAGGTTCCCATCAGTCATCAGGCCGCCCAGGATAAGACCTGTCCGGGGCCACAATGGAGGCCCAGGACCAAAGTGAGGTTATTTGTGCCCAGCGCTCTGTACGGCCCTCAGGCCACGAACAGGAGACACTAGGATTAGAGAGGTGGTGTTTGCCTTGATCCTCAGCTCCATAACGGTGGGGGCTGAGTGTCTCTGTTTCCCATATCCTGGCCTCCCACAGGGAAGGAACATCCAGGCCTCCAAAGGGAAAGGGAGGGCAAAAGCATTTCCCCCTTCTCAAACCACAAAATCAGCAGCTGCTCCCAAGATCCCAGGCTGCCCCAGGCCCTCAGCAAACTAAGCTATGAAGCCCCCCATTCCACCCTCCCTCCACCCCTGAATTCCTAGAGCAGGGGGCCCCCAAACCAGTTTCTCACCCTTTTGGATTTGACAGCCAAAAGGCTGTTCCACAGCTCTAAAAGCAGGCCTTGTAATGGTAGCAACCTCTCCAAAGGCTGCTGTGAGGTTTAAATGAGATGGGGCAGGTCCAGGGTTTACTGGACACTGGCCCCTGGCAAGCGCTGGCCATGCTCGCGCTGCGCTTTAGACTCAAGTGCCAAATGCCAGGAGCCTCCCAGAGAAAAATAATAACAAGAGCACATGCTTATATAACACCTCCTGCGTGCCAGGCACCGTGGGACACTGTACGTGTATCCACCAACCCCTCCGTCTACATCCTCAACTCTCAGGAATGCTGTCCAGGGCTGGAATAGGGGTGGAGGTGCAGTGCGAACGGGTGGGTGGGAGGGTATCAGGGGGTAGGGAAGAAGCCTCGCCTGGGGCCATTTCTGTCCCAGGGAATCAGGGACTGCAGCCCTGGGTTCACACCTGGGCTCAGCCGCCTTGAGCAGGTGAGGTTGGGCCTCAGTGTCCACAACTGGGCAAAGAGGACAAATGGCACATCTCCCACTCCTAGGAAAAGGAGTGGAAGTACAGGAACCCTTCCCCCCACTTCCCCTACCTGGCCCGGATTCTCCCCTCCTGCTGGCCAGGGACACAAACCCAAGCTTGCCACCCAGGCCACTCTCTTAAAAATACACATACACACACATACTATTTTCTAAACAGCCGGCCCCACTTCACTTTCCAAAAGAATCTGCCCCAACTTGGGCTCAGCAGGACCAAGACCTGTATCCCCTCCCCTTTCAGAGTCACAGTTCTGCTGGCTGGGTCCCCAAGCACTGTGCAGAGGTCGGAGCCCTCCAGGCCCATCTAAACCCAAGCCTAGCACTCAGGACCAGCCAGAGTCCCTGAAGGCCCTCCCCAAGCAAGGTTCCGAGTCACTCCTCCCCAGCACCCAGCGGCACTGAGTCACCCTGAAAGCCTGGCCCAGCACTCCTCTGCCCCTCCCCCGCCCAGCCTGGTACCCCCATCTCCAAGCACAGGCCCTGGGGGAGTAGCAGAGGAGAAAAAGCAGCTGCAACCCCCCCACACCCAACCACCTAAAGAGCCAAAAATAATAGCAGCTCACACACACACACAACAACCCCACACACGCCAGAAAAGCAAATATAAAATCATAAATCCAAAATAAAGGGGAAAAAAAAAATCAAAGCCAACTACTGCCCCCAAAAGGCTCTTTAACCATTCTCAAAAAAAAAAAAAGTTTATTAAAAGTGTTCTTAATGCTTGAACGGAAAAGATTCCCAAATATACAGATGCCTCTTTTCTCATAGAAATAGATTATTTTTTTATAATACAAAAAAAAAGACCAAAAAAACAACAACAAAAACAAAAACAACAGCAACAGCAACAACCCCGTAGGAACATCTTTAAGCGATTACTCAGGGCCCGGCTGACAGTTACACGTGGGTTGCGTCAGTCCCGTGTACACACGCGTTCAGCCATGTTTAAACCGATTGCATCAACTTCGAAACCGGCCCGCCCGCCGGCGCCTGGAGAGGGGTCAGAAGGAGAGGCAGAGTTTATCATTCATCTGTACACATAGACATCTCTTCTTTAAATAACACCACGGGCGGGCGGCCCATCTGCATGTGCGGTTGGTGTGGACAAAAATATATATATATATATATAATAAAATATTAAAATTACCGACGAGCTCCCCGCGCTGCCAAGTGCCCCAGTGCCAAAGTTTTGCCGGCGCCACCAGGGGCGGGGGCGGGAGCGGGAGCGGGAGCGCGGGCGCTTCCCGGAGTCTCGGTGGCCGCGGCGCGCCCGGCAGCGCGGAGGCCGGCCGGCAGGGGGACGCGCGCGGGGGCCGCGCTAGCAGTGGCCGGAGGAGGTGAGCAGGGGTTCAGGCAGCTGCTTGAACAAGTTCCGCAGGGTGCTGAGCTCGCGCGACAGCTGTTCCACCTTCTTCTGGAGCCGCTCGTTCTCGGCCGTGAGCTCCAGGACCTTGTGCTGCGTCTCCAGGTTGCGCATCTTGGCCTTGTCGCGGCTCTTGCGCACCGCGATGTTGTTGCGCTCACGCCGGATCTTGTACTCGTCGCTGTGCTTGTCCACGGTCTTCTTGGCCTTGCTCTTGACCTGCGAGGGCGCCGGCGCCGCCCCCACATAGCAGGCGGTCGGGGGCGCCTTGGCGTCTGCTGGGCTCGGCGTGCCGGGCGGGCTGGACGACGAGGACGTGGAGAGGCTCCCGCTGCTGCCGCTCGGCACCGCCTGGTAGCCGAGGTAGGCGCGCAGCGCGTACGGGAAACCAGCCGCCATGCCTGCGGCGCCGCCGCCCGGCGCTCCGGCCTCCTCCTTCCGCTTGCAGTCCGCGGGCTCGAAGCCCGGCTCCGCCTTGAGCTCGGCCGGCTGCGGTGGCGGCGGCGGCGGGGGCGGCGGGTGTAAGGGCGCGAAGCAGCCCGGGTGCAGCGCGCCCTTGGCGGCCCCCAGACGCCCCAGGCTCACGTAGCCGTATTCGGCCGCCTTCTTGCAGTTCTTGCCCCCGTAGTCGTCAGAGAAGAGGTCGGAGAGGAAGTCGTGGTGCTGCCCGGAGGAGGCGGGAGCGGGGGCGGGCGCGGGCGGAGCCGCCTCGAAGGTGTCCGTGGCCGGCGCCGGGGCCTGCGGCGCGCCCAGCGGCTCCAGGTATGGACTGAAGTCGATGGCGCGCTCGTGGTCACCGATGCTACCCAGCTCGCCGGCGGGGGGGCGCGGCCCGGGTCTGGCCGCGGGGGGCGCCGCAGGGGCCGCCTTGCCGCCGTACGCAGCAGCCAAGCAGTCCGCCTCGTAGTAGAAGTTGGCCACTTCCATGGATTTAAAGGCAGGCGGCGGCGGCAGGGGGAGACATGCTGGGTCCCAGGCCACCAGGCGTTGCATGAACGCGGGTGCCCGGGGAGGGGGCCTGGGGCTGCCCGCTCCGGCCGGCCCGCAGGTGGCGCGGCCTCCCAGCTCCGAACTGTCGCTGCTGTGTCCCTGATGCTGTTGCCGCTCCCTCCGGCGTGGCCGCTATTAGTGCGGGGGCTGGCGGCTGGCGGCTGGACCCTCGGGTGGGTCCCCTTCCCGGTCCCGTGCGCGGCTCTGACTCGCTAAAGTTTCTCCTGAGCCCGGTTATTTATAAGGCGGGCCATGGCAACGGCTGCGTCACGCCTGGAGGCCGCCCCAGCCCCTCCCCAGGCACGCAGAGGACACACTGTGGCCGCCCGAGACCCCCGAGAGGGCGGCAGTGGGGCGTAGTGGCCAGATTGGAGACCCAGAGCGCGCCCTCGGGGGTCCCTCGGCCCGGTGGGGGGCGGCATCGCCCCCTGCCCACTCCCACCCGGCGGCCCCGGGATTGGGAGCGAGAGAAGGCGCTAACCCGCCCCCGGACCGCCCCCTCTGGGCTGGAGGCTATACTAGAAGGGAGGGGAGAATCCGGGGAGGGGGCAACGTGATCTTCTCCCACCCCAAACACGGCCGCGGCCCGCCCCCTGCTGGAGGAGGCGCTGGCTTCAGGATCGGCTGCAACCAGTCCCGACTCCCCACCGAAGGGACGCGCTCCAGGCGGGATGCTGGAGACCCCAGCTCTGGCTCCCGGAGAGGTGACCCATCTCCACGGCCCTTCCCTGGGTCCAGCCTCGCCCCTAAACTTGCCCCCATCCCCAGATATTGGAAGGAGGGAATTTCACACCTGTGGCGACTTCCTGTCTTAAATACGAAGACCTGGGTTTGGAGGCCTGCAGGTCAGGGGCGAGCTCCACTTGGGCCTGTGCCAAGGTCGACCGCGCCCCTCCCCTAGCCACGCACACCGCACCTGCCCGCCCCTCAGACCACATCCGGGTCATCTCCAGCCCCACCACACCCCGACATGGGCCCCGGGAGGGTGGAAGGGGACGGGGATGCTTCTCTCCAACACACTGTGTGACCTTGGGCAAGTCACTTCACTTCTCCAAGCTTCAGTCCGTGAAGGTGTCGTTACTGTTATTATTAGTTGTATTACTGTCTCCACCACAGACTCCCAAACATACGGCTTACGGCTCTGGGACGCACATCATAAAGAAGGGCCTTCTCCCAGGGTACAAAGAGGCCCAGAGGCCCACAGCACACCCAAGATCACATGGCCTCATGTCCCCCACTGTTCTCGGAAGGAAAGCCCTTGTCCAGGCACCCTCAGACCTATTTGCACCCGAGGCCAAAACACCTGTTTCTGAGGCTGGTGGGGTGGGGGACCAGCCAGGCTCAGGAGGGGCCATGCAGGAGAGAAAAGGGAATGCCCCTATTTTCACCAGGTCCCTACTGGGCGGTGAGGGTGGGCCTGGACCCAGAGTTTGCTTTTTCACCCTGCCAGAAGCATGCCCTTGCTGCCCCCCTGGTTCACAGATGGGGAAACAAGATGGCCCACCTGGATCTGAATTTAGGCCTGAGGCCCTCCCTGCAGAGTGAGCTCCAGCAGCCCCTTAACCTCTCCTGAGCCATTCTGAGGCCATTTGGGCAGCTCCTTGGGCCTACCCCTCTACCACTCCCGGCCCAGGCCGCCCAGGCAGGAGCTCCCAGCCTGCCTGCTTGCTGACCCCCAGCCCACTGACCCCAGCCCTGGCCCTGGCGGGCAGGTGGACATTGCTCAACCTTCAGCATTATCTGCTGAGCTGGGGTGACCTCCGCCCTGGAGAGCTGGAGAAATGACATCTCTTGAGTGCCCTTGGGGGGTGGGGGGCAGGGAGGAACAGGATGAAACACTGGCCCAGCCTGCTGGCTTTTTAGGCCTTCCCAGCAGCCTCTGGGCCAGGGAGGGATCCAAGGCCCCAGGGCCACCCAGCCAGGCCTCCCAAGCTGCAAAATGGGACACTCAGGGCTGAGCTTGAGGGCCACTGCCTCCAGGAGGCCCTCCCTGCCCCACCTGCTGGTGAACTTCCTTCCCAGCCCTTATCTCCAGCCACCGTTATCCTAGTTGTCTTGTCTGCCTCAGTCCCACTCCAGACTAACCCCTCCATGAGTGCCAGCCCTCAAATATGGGAACTCCTGGATCAGGCATGCTCAAAATGTACCGGGGGACGAATGCATTTGCTGTTACCTCTGGACCAAAACCGCTGTTTCCCCAGCTCTGCCCAAGGCAGCTCCTCAGGGCTCAGCCCAAAGGTTACCTCCTCTGAGAAGGCCTCCCTGACCTCCCCATCGAAAGTCCTAGGCCCTTGATCACTCCTTTCGCATCCCCCTGCTTCATCTCCTTCACCATTCTCAATTACAATCAACATTATCTCACCTACACATCTTGATTTCTGTCCCCACTGCCCTCTCCCATTGTCAGCTCCAACAGGGCCAGGATTTTTGTTTGTTTTATTCACTGTGGTTCCCCCAGTGCCTAGAACAGTGCCTGGTACACAGGAGGTGCTCAATAAATGGAGGAGGCTGAGAAGAAGGTGAGGTTCCCCCCACAATTAGCTGGGCTGTGTGACCTCAGACAAGATGGCTCCCCTCTCTGAGCTTCAGCACCCACCCCCACCTCTCAGGACTCTGGGGAGATGCAGTGAGACCTGGGGAGTCTGAGGCTAATTTGTGTGTGTCCTCACACAATCTTTCACCCTCTCTGAGCCATATTTTAAGCTCTTTACATATATTAACTCATTTAATCCTCCCGATAATTGGTAGGAAGCAGGTACTATTATTATCTCCACTTTACGAATGAGGAAACTGAGGCCCAGCAGAGCTAAGTGTGTCCCAGGTCACACTCAAGGGGTGGGAAGGATTAAAGTCTTTCCAGCCCGACCTCCCGCTTTGGGTTTGTAACAAATCATAACGGGTCTGGCCGTGGGAGCCCCATTTTCCAAATGGAAAAGCTGAGGCTCAGATAAGGGCAGTTGGGGTCACACAGCAAGTCAAGGGGCAACCCAGACCCTGGGAACCAGCCCCCAAGGACCCGACTCAATCCCATTGGGGTCTTGCCCTTCTGACCTCACCTAACAAATACTGAGCCTTTTGCTTCCCACTCTGCCCTGGCCTGACAGTGAAATCAGTGGCTGTTCCCACCCCAGTGCCACCCTAGGTGTCCTGCAGGGAGGCTGCGTGCATGGGTGACGTAAGCCCTTGTTTTCACAAGGCTCGTTGCTCAACAGGCCCTGCCTGCTGCCCCACCATTAATGCCCAGCCTTTCCCCGAGGAGGGCGGTGATGTGAGCTGAACCACTATGGCCCAGAGGCCTGGAACACGCCCCAGCGGGCCTGCAGGCAGCAAGGGCCGAGAAACCAGGATCCACCTGACACCACCCACAGTGACTTCTCCCAGTTACCATCTGGCATAAGTGTCTGTAGGAACCTGGGGCGGGGAAGGGTCTCAAAATGGCAGCCAGAAGCCCTATCCAACCCAGAGACGTGTTCAGCTTGACCCCATAGTGTTTTGCTCCAGATTTTTTGTTTGTTTTGTTCTTTAATGAATGTATTGCCAACATTTAAAAAGCAAGACACTTCACATCAAAATTTGAACTTCCAGCTTCTCTTGTAAGACCGGAAGCCGTGGGCCGGGACCACATGGCTAGGAGTGGTGGGCAGGAGCCTGGCGGGGACTGTGGAAGAACGGGCACTTCCTACCCAGATACATGCCCCTCCTCTGCCCCCAAACTGCTTTCAGAGTTCCTTCTCCCAGTCTCTGCAGCTTTTCTTTAGCCCCATTTGCAGGAGGAAACCAAGGCACCTTGCCCAAAGGGAGTGCCATTGTTGCTTCCTTGACAGAGAGAGGTAAAAGGGCTTAGAAGTCAGCCAGCAGGTCGAAAAATAAGGCTGAAGGGGGAACCATCAGAGATGGTCCATGGAGATTGTCTCTAGTGGATTTGGAGTTGGGGGTTGCAAGGAAGGTCTTTTGTTTCTGCTCTGTACCCTCCTGGCTGTGGCACCCTCTAGACCTCAATCCCTGGTCTATTAAATGCGGGTAATTATATCCCCTCTCTTTTGGGCGTCTGGGCCTACTGTTCCCCCTCACACTGACCCACCTCAACACGTGAGAGTGAATTGCCTCCCCTTGGCCCCACAGAGGGCCTGACCTCGCAAGTCATGATAACCTCACAAATCAGGCAGGTGGGAAGCAGGCCCAGAGTGGGCTAGGGCTTCGCCCACCCAGCATCACAGTGAACTGGTAGAAGAGGCGAACTTAAAAGCCAGATTGTCCCTGATTCCTATGGCTGAGATTTTTCCCACCAGGCCTCCTCTTTGAGACCTCACTTTCCCCGCCTGCCAAATGGGACCTAGGTTAGATCCCCGAGGGCTGCCAGGCCCAGTGTCCTGGGATCCAGAATTTTGGAATCCTGGGATACCCTTGGTGCTGACTAGTGAAACTTGCCTGAGCATATGCTGCCGCCACGTGGCAAGCTCTGGGAATGCAGGAGTGATTTAAATGAATTTTTTTGATGGAGGACCTACTGGGTACTTTGCTTATAGGATATAGAGGTCAGCACTATGGATATAATAGATGCTCACAGGATAAGAGCAAGCCATCACTGAAAGAAATAAAAATGTCCAACAAACAGATGAAAGGTACTCACTTTCATTTAGTCATTCATCAAATACTTTTTGGCACCTGAGCAACGTGGTTAAAAATATTTAAAAGATGCATTCTCTTTGACTCACAATTCCATTTCTGGAAAATTTGCCTAAATAAACATTCATAAATGTGTGTAAAAGAACATTTTTGGCACTTACTGTGGCTCATGCCCTAGACACATATTCATGAACAAGACAGAAGTGATTCCTATCCTCATGAAGTTGATATTCCTCTTGGGGAAGACAAACAATAACCAAGATAAATGAGTCAACTATACAAAGTGTTATATTCTGGTAAGCACCATGGAGAAAAACACAGCAGAGGAGGAGCATGGGGAGTGTTGGGGGATTTTATTTTAACTTTAGACTGGTCCAGGGAGACCTCATTGAAGTGACAGGCGAGCAAAAACATGAATGCAGTGAGGGAGTGGGCCATGCAGATAGCAGCAGCGAGAAGAGCAAGTGCGGAAGCCCTGGGGTAGAAGCATGCCTGCCCCGTGTGGCTGCTGTGGGTGGAGCACAGGAGAAGTAGCAGGAGATTATCTCACAGAAATAGTGGAGAGGCCACATCACACAGGGT